GTGTAATTAATAATGTCACCATGCTCAAAGGGATATTCAATGTCTGCTTTTTATTTTTACCCATCTACCAATAGGTGCCCTTCTTTGCAAGGAATTGGAAAACCTCCCTGGTCTTTGTGGTTGAATATGTGTTTGAAATTCACTGCTGGACTGAGTGACCTTACAGACAATTGTATGTGTGGGAGATGAGGTACAGAGATGAGGTAGTCATTCAAAATCATGTTAAACACGATTACATTTTTTATCACATTTTTACTCCTGAACTTATTTAGGCTTGCCATAACAAAGGGGTTCCATACTTATTGACAAGTTTTTTATTAATTTGTACACATTTCTAAAAACATAATTCCACTTTGACATTATAGGGTATTGTGTGTAGGCCAGTGACACAAAATCTCAATTTAATCAATTTTAAATTCAGGCTGTTACACAACAAAATGTGGAAAAGTCAAGAGGTGTGAATACTTTCTACACTGTATGTGGAGATTTGTGAAATGATACTATCTACACCAATAATAACACCCCACTGAAATAGTATGAGCCCTGAAGTCTGAATACATTTTGTACATTCTGAACAATAACTAAACAGTTTCATCTTCACTGTGAGAGCTGTGTTTTGTGTGTGTTCTCTCTGTGTATGTGTGTGTGTTGTGTGTCTTTTCTCATTTGGGCAAAAGTCCATCCTCCGTGCTCTATCCTCCATGACCAGGAAACCAACAAGTGGTCGAAGAGATGTCTATTCGTTAGTAGTCATGTTTATCCTACCGGAGTCCTTCGCTGATGAGTTTTGAAATCTTCCACACCCACTTTGAATCAGCTTTTGTTTTGTAGGAGAAAAGCATGCACACGTTTAAAAACAATATGCTACTTATCGTTTACAGTATATTTATAAAATGTCTTGCACAACTAAGGACTAGATTCAATCAGATCAAGCGTTAACCGGCGATAGCCGACACCTGCATAGCTGATGTTTTGGCGGTGGAACTGCGTTGGAGCAGCTGCTCTAGTGATCATTGTCACGAAGCCACACCCACCCCACTCGTGTTAGAAGTTCAGAACGAGAACGTGTAGCCTATATAGAAATAATGACACTCAAACTGAAAATCATGAAACAAAATAATGAGGATTTCTATCAGCGTAATCGAGGTGTAGATCACATCTCTACCAACCTGCAAGGCTGCTAAATAACAACATGGAAAACAGCTCCTAAGTGTCTTGCGGTCTGCATGACTCCATTCGCTTCCTTGGCCTCCTGTGTCTAAATAAAGATGCAGTGTCTTCTGGTAGAAAAACATCACAAGCCATGGTTGCTTCTCACTCATTCACTACTCCCCACACGTTTAAAAGCATTGGAAATGTGTAGGCATTGGCTAGAGGGAGTTTCCATATAGAAGTCAATTCCTTTCAATTCCATGGAGTGAAGTGAACCAGTGCACACTTCAGGAGAAAGAAGAGATTATTGGGATACAACCCAAAGCTACTTTGCCCCTTAGGGTCACGGTACAAACCACCCATCCATCCCATAATCCCCCAGGAACCAGCAATGACACCAGTAGAAACAGTCTGACCAGTCTTTTATTGTCATCATAATATAAGAATTACTTAAACCTCCACGCGCAACCTCTACATAAAAAGGCAGTTTGTTATATTCAATAAGGAGTGTGCTTGGGTCGGGGAGGCCATCAGTAGAATCAAGTAGAGATCTGGGGCCATATCCACAAAGCATCTCAGAGTAGAAAATTGGTCGTAAATCCTGAGAATAGAGACATTTTACTCCTACTCTTAAGGGTACAAATAAAAGCTATTAATGAAGCCTCTTTAGTCATAAGAGTCCCACCTAGTCGACAGATATTTAGGAGACTTCATGAGCTGTCCCAAGAGTCCCACCTAGTCGACAGATATTTAGGAGACCAGAGTTACCAGAAGGTGTCTTGATAATTGAGTTCTATATGACTAATCAATCTCGACTTACATGCAACAGTATCTCTTGATTTCACATGATATACCTAAATACTTATAACCAATAAATAAACACATTTTTCTTTCGATTATTTAATTACCTACATCATGTTATTTCAAGTTATCCCTTTGGAGCGCAACTTCATGTAAAAATAAAAATAAATAAAAGCCTAAATTGGGCATGCCTATAGGTCGGGCAATTGCAGGCATCTAGGAATTATGTTAACTTTGATTCTGTTCGATGAAAATGATAGAGCTTTCAAACGTTGAATGCAACATTATTGGCAAGTGACTTGATGCCTACTGTGGCAAAGCGATTTAGAGTTGTGTGTTGATATATGTTAACGGTAATATTCAGAATTGGTCGAAAAATAAATAAAATAAAAAGGTTATGCATGGTAACATATTAGGCTAAATGATCGTGTCAGGCGAAAATGATATCAAACGTTTTACCATTGCAACATTTGTTGAACAGTCATCTTCGCCGTGGTTGTCTGAAGCGTTTGGTTATTCCCCATCATTTGCAACAACGTCAATCAGCGTAATTACTTTCTTTCCTTTGTGGAACCTCAAACTGTCGTGATTACCAGCTGAGAAACTTTATGAGTTGTCCTGGCTCTTGTCTGGGCAGCGTCTTAACATCATCCTAAAACCTACTCTTGAGCTGGGAGTTTTTTTAGTCTTAGAACAGGTTTTAACAGAATTCCTAGGACCTTTTCTGAGATGCTTTGTGTATACGGGCTCATTGAACACAATCAAAGTTAACATAGGCCCTAGGTGCCTTTAATAGCCCAATTTATATGCATGCCCAATTTCGGCATTACATTTTTTTTACATTATTGCGCCACTAAGGGATAACTTGAAATAACATGTTGGTTAATTAAATAATTGATAGAAAAATATGATTATTAGCCTATGTAGTTAAGTATTTTGGTATATAATGTGAAATCATTTTCAAAAGCATGTAGGTCTAGATTATTTATGGATTGATCATACAGAAATATCAAAACACTCTTTCAACAACTCTACAGAAATTGCATGTGGTGCAGGAACCACTGACTACTTTTTCTATTATGAAGACACCTGCTGGTAACTCTTAACTGGTTAGGACACCTTATGAGGTGTCCTAAATATATGTTGACTAGGTGGGAGTGTTATGACTAAAGAGGCTTCATGCATAGCTTTTATTTTTACCCATTAGAGTAGGAGTAAAAGGTCTCTATTCTCAGCACTTATGACCAATTTGATACTCTGAGTCGCTTTGTGGATACGGTTTCATGTGTTAACAGAGCTATGCCTTCAGAAAGTATTCAGACCCCCTTGACTTTTTCCACGTTATGTTACAGCCTGATTCTAAAATTGATTGAAAAAATAACATTCTCAGTAATCTACACACAATACCACATAATGACAAAGTGAAAACAGGTTTTTAGATTAATTGCATATGTATTATAAATAAAAATAAAAACCTTATTTACGTAAGTATTCAGACCCTTTGCTATGAGATTCGAAATAGGGCTCAGGTGCATCCTGTTTCCATTGATCATCCTTGAGATGTTTCTACAACTTCATTGGAGTCCACCTGTGGTAAATTAAATTGATTGGACAGGATTTGGAAAGGCACACACCTGCCTATATAAAAGTCCCACAGTTGACAGTGCATGTCAGAGCAAAAACCAAGCCTTGAGGTCGAATGGAATTGTCCGAAGAGCTCCGAGACAGGATTGTGTCGAGGCACAGATCTGGGAAAGTATACCAAAAAATGTCTGCAGCATTGAAGGTCCCCAAGAACACAGTGGCCTCCATCATTCTTAAATGGAAGAAGTTTGGAACCACCAAGACTTCCTAGAGCTGGCTGCCCGGGCAAATTGAGCAATCGGGGGAGAAGGGCCTTGGTCAGGGAGGTGACCAAGAACCCGATGGTCACTCTGACAGAGCTCTAGAGTTCCTCTGTGGAGATGGGAGAACCTTCCAGAAGGACAATAATCTCTGCAGCACTCCACCAATCAGGCCTTTAGGGTAGAGTGGCCAGACGGTAGCCACTCCTCAGTAAAAGGCACATGACAGCCCGCAAGGGGTCTGAATACTTTCTGAATACTAGTCCTGTGATCTATGTGCTAGTTTCCCGGACACAGAAAGCCTGTTTAATGGAACTTAGTCAGAGACTAAGTTCCCTCTGTGTCTGGAAAACCAGGCCAAAATGTAGAGTCTTAATAAGTCTTGTGAACGTGCATATGCCCCATACACACTGTCATTGTCTATGACAGTCAGGGGATAGCTAACCTCATCCCAAGGCTCGAATTGCTGACACATAGAGCCTGGTAACACTGTGCAACAAATTGGGACTACAGCTGTATTAGATGGAGAAAATCGATTGGTTCTGTGTTCAGGCATATAAAATGTATATGTGAAAACTATTTATTTTCAGATTTCCCAAACTCACTTCTTTGTTTAGCGCATTACTTGCCCACAAAGCTCGTCCAGTAGCCAGAAGGGGAGGTGCTAGATGGTGATGGACAGATCAGCCAATTAAAACCGGCATCTGTTTGCGCCACTCCTGCCATAGACTGCCATTCAAGCCCCGTTCTGTACCAAAACTCTTCAATGGACACCGTTCCTTATCTCCTTTCCCTCATCATAACCAATAAATGGTGAAAGGATGATCGGTTTACACAGTGTGGAAACCCATTATGCCCATTCAAGACAGCAATCATGAAGGAAATATTAGGAAAGGATGACATTTTGGAAGAGGCCAAAGTTTAATCCATGTAGCAATACAGAATGTAAGCTCACGAGATCAGGATGGTAAGTAAGAAGAGTGAGAAAGGTACTATAAAATGTGAAAGCCCTATGTGCTTTGTGTGAGATGAACAATACCCCCGAGAGTGACTTGCCACCTCCACAACCCCAGACATACCAGTGCAATAAAACAAAATAAACAGGCTTCATATTTTACACAAAGACAAAAAGTGATATATTAAGTGCCTGATTAGGCTGGTGCAAAACGTTTCTGCACAGATGCATATACAGTAGGTACAGAGACACACACACACACACACACTCCATAGTACTTCCGCTCACACGCCTTTTTAGTAGATGCACACACGCATACATCTCTCACACACGCACACATAAAGCAGCACAAACATGCCGTCTCCACTGCCTCGTCTTAAAATATTCACAACTCTGTGCAACACTGATTGAGAGACCTCCTCTAAAGACTTGTCATTCCAACTTCTCTTAAACAACCAATGGGGCACTAGCTCTGCCAGTACAAGAACATTGGTGACAGAGGCACATAGGCTTGGCTAAAATAGCATAAAATGGGATGGAGTTAGAGTAATAAGTACTTACATTTCAGTACTTCTACCTACCTTGTTCTATTTAAAAATGATCACTTCTTTACATACTGTACATGGCAGGACTATCATATTATGATATCTGCACTTGGAATCAGAGCAGCAAACCATAAAAGCAGAAAAATAAAGCCAATATATTAATATAATATGCTATTTAGCATATTGACAATGCGTTCAAAAAACAAAATAAAGTATCCTGTCAGTTTGGGTGAAGAAGGAAAAAATCTCATCTTTCACTAAAGCTACCGAAAAACAAAATCATCAGAGCTCGTCCAGTAGCCAGAAGCTGCAATTTCAGGGAAAAGAGAGGGATGGCGGGAGGAGTTGAAAGAATAAGGGTCACTGTCAGTCACTAAAATCATTGTTGTGTTCTCGTTTTTCCCCCGTCTTTCTTTTCCAGTCCTCGCTCCTTTGTTTCTCAGTTCGTCATCCTAGCTCCCGCCTCCCTCGTCCTCCTCCTTATCCTCCTGCTCCTCCATGTTCTTGCGTGCCATCCTCTCCCGCCTCTCTGCCAGGCGCTGGCATCGCGGGCACTCCTTGCCTGCCTGGAAACATTTGCTGTGGAAACACGCGTTGCACTCTGAAAGACAAGACAACACAAGAGAGAAATGTCAATGCAAAAGCAACCACACTGAAACGCTATATAAAAGATACAGACACACAAACATGGGTGGAGTCCTGTTCAAAAATACATTGTTTTGTCGATGTGTAGAAGAAAGACGCATGAAGATATATGGACAACATCCTAATTCCCTAGAGGGATGTTCCACCCCATAACTCACCTGTTAACCAGCTCTAAGCAAACATGGGGGAGTGCTCCCACAACACTAATAACCGGTTTGACAACATTGTTCACAATGGGAAGAGGACTGAGGTGCTGTGATGTCACGGCAGAATAGCCAATGATAGTCTCTGAAGCAAGGGGGAGGGGTGACATGGGACTATAAAAGAAGAGGTGAGGCGGGGTGGCAAGGCAGAAGGGAGGAGAGGAGTGGTAAAATGCAGAGAAACTTGCAAAGAGTCAGTGCACCACTCAAACCAGTTCAGACACAACCACAATGAGAAGCCTATTCCCAAAAGAGACATACAGCTTCTAAAGCTATGAATGTGTGACTGAACCATTTCAGATAACACCTGTGTGGAAGCTTCAATTGTACATATTTATTACTACATTTTCAAATGAATATATTGTCCCCTTGATAATGAAATGACAAAGCAACTGAAATTCACAAATGTGTTTATTTTACATTCACACAGAGAAGTTGAGGCTTAAATAATAATGTGAACAGGTAGGCGCACAAAAGAAAAAAAACACCTTTGATCACTCCAATTCATCCTGCCATTACATACATATGAAATAGGCCCATATCCTTATTAAGAGCCCTGCACGTGCATGAATTTTAAACCCGAGTCATAACCATGCCCACGACATTCAGGCCCTACCCTACCCAGGCCCGATTGTTTCTGCCATATTTAAGGCCTGGCCTCTACTCAATTTCTTTGTCCTCCACCTCCTCAGTTTCATGCTTTCCTTCCTCATTCACTCCTGTCCCCGTCTCGGTTTCTTCTTCTCTTATCTCCTCCTCATCTTCCTCCCTTCCTTTAATTCAAAATGCCTTGACCAGACTTCCCTGTTTGATAGCTTTGAATAACATCCTCCTCTCCCCTTCTCAGACTCCTCTCCTGTCTCTCCCTCCTCTTCTCCCTCTCCAGTCCCTTTGTTTTGGTCATCTGCTCCCTCACTACTAGCTTCCCTTTCCTCACTCTTTTCCCCTCCTCCCACTCCCTCTCTCCTGTCTTGGGATTAGGCTTGAGCGGTATACCGTATATACCGTATAGCGGGGTATTTGGAAATAGTCACGGGATGGTTTATCAATACCATCAATAGCACTGAAACTATTTATTTAATATTTGTAGCTACTTTTTAAGTAAATATCTGCAGTCAACTTGTGCAATACGTTAGGAGATAAAGCAGATTGCGTTCTTCATTTCTTTTTTTAGGTGTTCTTCATGTCACCGGTCGTATAATTTTTCAGTATGAAGCTTACAGGTAGTCCAGTCACGGTGAGAGAACAGAACCTCATGAGTCCCACTGACTGTTGTGCAGCACGCGCCAGGTGATCTAGTTACAATATGGAATTCACAACTAAATGTTTGTCAGCTAAACTGTGAGTAGCATTTTTTAGTTACTTGTAGAACTTTATGTGCTGGGATGTCTGTCCTGCAAATAGTTTGTCAGAGACTGTATAAAATGTTTGCATGCATTCGTTAGCATTTAGCTAGCATTCACTATGGGATTTTACATATACTTATTAGCATTGCTAACCTTTGGATTGAAAATAGCGTGCTGGTATTACCGAATATCCTGGGATGGCACAAGGTCAGTATGAAGGTATGACAATCTGGATACGGGGGGGCTCACCTTCGCAGCGCGTGCACTTGTTCAGCTCAAAGGGGAAGATGATGTCTTTGTCGTTGCCGCAGAACTCACACACGAAACCCTTGGCCTGACACAGCTGTGAGAGACAAAGAGGGAGAGAGAGGAAATTAAGACATTGACATTGAGGGGATGCACTGAGAATGGAAATGTCACTTTATGACACCCTCAAGTCCACTGTAACACATGGCGCAAATTGTCATTTGACTCATATTTGCTATTGTATAGAATGACAATTCAAAATGTACATCACAGTATAAAAATGAATGTCTCTATTACAGGAAGAGTATGTAGTTCAGGATAATTCAACGCATTCTCACCACACAGCCAGCCACGTGCATAGAACCCAATTTCAGCAGCTCTCGAAGCCGGGTGGCCAGCTCTCCGTTGCGCACAGCACTGAGGTCGTTGAGGGAGAACAGGTGCAGGTCCTCAGTCAGGTGACCTGGGAGGCTGTCAAACTGGTCCAGCACGCTATGGGGTCAAACGCAAAGACACACGTGAGGGGAACTCCTACCAGCAATACCATCCATTACTGCAATAATTTACCTGACAGTGCAGACACAGTGTCGTCTCATAGCAATAGCACAGTTCATTACAGGAAGAATATTTTAGGAGGCATGTAACACATGTAAAGGAAAGGGACTGTCTCATACCAACAATACCATTCATTGCAGGAGGAGGCACACACATGCACGCACACAACTTACTCTTTAGATAGGCGGCATGTCTTGAAGAGGTTTTTCATGTGGAAGAGTTGGACCCTCAAAACCTGAAGAATAGTAGGAAAATGCACTTAGTTCATAGAACACATTTCAAACCACAACCCATAACCGGAACACATTTTCTTTCTAGTATGAGTGGGCTAAACTAAAGTAGGCTAAACTAAAGTAAAATAAAATACTGTAAAACCTAACAAACCAAACCTAAAAGATAAGATAGGCATCAAACTAGACTAATCCAAACTAAACCAGGCTCAGGTCCAGTCCTCTCACCCGGACAGTCTCCAGGGCTTTGTTCTTCTTGTAGAGTCCACTGTTGATGTCGTTGGGGTTGAACAGGGGGTCTCCGGCGATCTTGCCCAGCAGGTCCCGGGCGAAGTTGCTAACGTAGTACTTGCTGAAGTCCCACTTCCTCAGCACGCGGCCCGGCACCACTGCCTGGGCGTTCTCGTGGCAACACTGGCAGAAGTAGCGGCCCAGGTACTCGCAGTAGCGCATTCGCTTAATGTAGTCTGTCCGGTGAAGGGGAGTAGAGGTAACAGAGTGAGGCAGGGGTGAGGTTTGACACAAAATGACCACCGTGGGATAAGGATAACATGGGTGGTTGTGTTTTGGAGGGGGAGTGGGGGGTCTTCAATGTGGTTTATACCTGGGTCTATGCGAGTCCCACAGCCTGCACAGCGGTAGTTCTGCTTCGCCACAACTATTTTCCTCCTGATGGAGAGAAAAAGGGGGAGAGAGGATGGTTAGAGACAGACAGACAAGCAGAGTAACAAAAATAGAGGGAGACAGTCAGAGAGATATAGGAGGGTTAGAGCGACAGACAGGCAAACAAAAAGAGGGAGAGGCAAACAAGAAGGGGGAGAGAGACAGAGAATAGTGAGAAGTCACTGTGTGTGTGTGTTAAGGACTCACTTGGGCGCGGGGTGGATGTTGAAGATGATCTGGGGTCGGGGCGGTGCCCACTCTAGGTTCCCTCGCACCCGGATCCTCAGCTTGTAGATGTCAGCATGCTCTCCATCATCAGGAGAGATGGGCAGGGAGTCAGGGATGGGCAGGAGCTGAAGGGTAGAGGGAGAATACAGGTTAGTTTGTGTGAGTGTATGTGTGGGGGATATTGTGTGTGTGTGTGTGTGTGTGTGTGTTTATACACGCATGTATGTGTCTGCGTGTGTGTGTCTGTGTGAGAGTACCTTCTGCGGTGCGTCTTGCTCTGGGACCAGCCAGTCGAGCTCCGAGGCTGCGGGGAGCTGCATGCCTTCAAACTGCCTGAGCAGCCCCATGGCCACCGACTCAGCCGAGTTAGACTGGAGGAACGACGGAGAGCTGAGTAGAGAGAGAGAGAGAGAAAGTGATAGTAGGAAGAGTAAAGAAGCATATCCCAAACACATTTCCACTACTGCAAAATATAGCCACACTAACACAAACAATGGTCTAATTTCTACTAACACAAACAATAGCCTAATTTCAACTACTACGAACAATAATCAAATTTCAACTACCACAAACAATAGCCTTTTTTTTTCAACTACCGCGAACAGCCTAATTTCAACTACCGCAAATGACAGCATAGTTTCCAAGTAGCCTACCATGAACAATCGCTTAATTTCAACTACCGCGAACAATAGACTAATTTCAACTACCGTGAACAATAGCCTAATTTTAACTACCATGCCTTTTCTTTTTCTACTGTTACCTCTGTGCTTGATATGGGCTTGATCGAAACCTAAACATTCTGTCTATAGTCCGGCCCACTCCACGGACTACCATTCTTCATTGGGCCAATGGGAGAAAGGGTGTGGCCAAGGTGAGATGCAGGAGATTCACACGTGCAATCAATGTCAAAATATTCAATATTGGTGATAGATTTCAGGTGGAAAATTATGGGATGTTGGAGTCAGCAAGCCTTGGCTAGTTGAAAACATGAGAGGTTGAGGATCCTGAATCTGGTAAAGAGCTATAAGCCCTGGGGAAAATTTGTGGAAGCTACATTTTACATTTTAGTCATTTAGCAGACGCTCTTATCCAGAGCGACTTACAGTTAGTGAGTGCATACATTTTCATACTGGCCCCCCGTGGGAAACGAACCATGCTCTACCAACTGAGCTACAGGGGACTAGCCTATTATGGATCACTAGGATCAGGGGATGAAAGAACTAGCATATGACCTATATGTCATTGACATGGACAGGCAGATCAGCAGACAATGGCCAAATCCACCTCTAGACACAATGCTCTATACACTTGTGGAGATGTTAGACGAGACTTATCCTATCCTATCAGAGGGCAATTGGTGCTGTTACGAAACTTCCTATCAAATCTCAAGTGCATAGGGCAAAGTGTCTAGGGCATAGGGTCAATTTGGGACTGGGCCTACATCTATAAGGCTAGAGTGTGTGTGTGTGTGTGTGTGTGTGGGGGGGGGGGGGGGGGGGGGGGGGCAGTTATTACATAGACTCTGAGCTGAGGAATGAGCGGCCACTGGAAGTCACACTGCGCTTTATGTCTGCATCTGTATGAGAGAGAGAGAGGTTAGGCTCAGTTCTTTTAAAGCACATCAATCACACTACTATCACAAAGAAAAACATGTACAGCTAAAATTTGAGGGTGGTGTTTCAGGAGAAAAAAAATGTGTCTTAGATATGACAAGTCCTAGAGAAGGCACAAAAGCATCAGACATTAAATGTGTGGCAGAGAGTTCACATAGGGACTTTTAAAAGGAGTCATATTAGTGTGCTGCTGGTGAGAGATTTCGGGTGGAATATTATGGGACGTTGGAGCCAGAAAGCCTTGGCTAGTTGAAAACATGAGGGATTTCGAAGAACATGAATCTGATAAAGAGCTATAAGCCTCGGGAAAATCTAATGGAAACTAGGCTATTATGGATCACTAGGCTAGGGGATGAAAGAACTAGCATATTCAATATATGTCATTGACAGGCAGGCCAGCAGACAATGGCCCAATCTCAAATCCACAACTGCATTGTACAACTGCAACCCAGTTTCTGACCAATATAGTCCAGGGGTTCAGTCTAAAACTATGTTTTGTCTATTTCAAAATACGTTCATATGTGGGTTTGTGCAGTCGATGCAAATCCAAAGCCCTTCTGGCAAGATTCAAAACAACAATATGCCAAAGGGATGCTAGATTAGAATTTTAGGCTGCAACAAATGAGGACATATTCAGCAAGTGTCCTTTGTCTTATGAAAGCATACCATGCAGCAGCATCTCACACAAATTAATTATAATCTTATCAATAGCTATACTTATATATAATAACATTTGGTGGGAGTAATTTTGTTTGCAGTTCATTGTTAAGCCGTTAAATCTAGTCTCACGTGTAATATCTGATGTTTCTTTTAATGCAAGCCAGACTATTTCATTGCTACCACTGCAGCACGATAGAAATGGGAAACTTGGCAAGGTGGAATTAATATTAAGTAGTTCCTGTTTCTAGTGGGAACTCAAAAGCAGTGAGACCGTGTTGAGTACTAACACCACTGGATGTGCATCAGTGATGCCATCTCATGCACACAGAAAGCCTAAATTAATTGTTGAGTGAATCGATGGATGGATGAATGAATGAAGGAATGAATGAATGGAATGGAATGAATGACCAATAGCAGCAGTAGCTATACACTGCTGCCAGCAAATATACTAGTCTACTGAAGACCCTAACCCCCATCAAACCATAGATGTACATACACTCACACTCATCGCCGGTCTCCCTAACCCTGGAGCAGCAAAGGCAATATAAAGCACACAAGCCAGGCCAGCATCTAGCTGGATTCCAAACTGAAAACCTCTTAAATGACTAGGTACCAATGGGCAGCAATCTGGTAGAAATTATACCAAATTAAAATGAAAGCTCAAAGAAAAAGGTATATGACGCTAACCGTGAACATCAATCACTCAAAAAAAGAAAGTAAAGGGAAATACATTTTTTGGTAAGGGCTCTTCCTCAATTCATCTCTCCAAAATTCCTCGCTTCCTCTCCACGCCTCCTCCTCAAAACACATTGGAGAAGAAGTTCAGAGGGGAGGGACCTTGAATCTTCTCCTTCAATAGGACCTCGAATCTTCTCCTTCAATACAGTTGAGAAGGAGCTGAAGAGATAGGATGGGAGGAATCGCAGAAAGATTCATTGAGAAAGAGCCATGGAATCCAGCTACATTTGTCCAGCCTTCCACATCCATAGCTCCCCTGCACCCCTAGCCCTGTCTCTTGTCCCTCCCCACCAGCCCAGATACCTGAGAAGAGCGAGGCGAGCGACAGCGAGAGGCCGCTCCTTGACACATCCATCAGGGACTGGCCCTCACAGCCATCTGAGAGACAGAGACTACACTCAGCATTGGCCCCACACCACATATACTATATACAGTGCATTCGGAAAGTATTCACACCTCTTGACTTTTTCCAAATTTTGTTACGTTACAGCCTTATTCTAAAATTGATTAAATTGTTTTTGTTCCTCATCAATCTACACACAATACCCCATAATGACTAGGCAAAAACAGCAAACCCCCCCGGAAATATCACATTTACATAAGTATTCAGACTCTTTACTCAGTACTTTGTTGAAGCACCTTTGGCAGCGATTACAGCCGAGTCTTCTTGGGTATGACGCTACAAGCTTGGCACACCTGTATTTGGCGTCGCTGCACAGCTATTTTCAGGTCTCTCCAGAGATGTTCGATCGGGTTCAAGTCCGGGCTCTGGCTGGGCCACTCAAGGACATTCAGAGACTTGTGCTGAAGCCACTGCTGCATTGTCTTGGCTGTGTGCTTAGGGTCGTTGTCCTGTTGGAAGGTGAACCTTCACCCCAGTCCGAGGTCCTGAGCGCTCTGGAGCAGATTTTCATTAAGGATCTCTCTGTACTTTGCTCCATTCAGCTTTCCCTCGATCCTGACTAGTCTTCCAGTCCCTGCCGCTGAAAAACATCCCCACAGCATGATGCTGCCACCACCATGCTTCACCGTTGGGATGGTGCCAGGTTTCCACCAGATGTGACACTTGGCATTCAGGCCAAAGAGTTCAATCTTGGTTTCATCAGACCAGAGAATTGTTTCTCATGGTCTGAGTCTTTAGGTGCCTTTTGGCAAACCCCAAGCGGGCTGTCATGTGCCTTTTATTGAGGAGTGGCTTCCGTCTGGCCACTGTACCACAAAAGCCTGATTGGTGGAGTGCTGCAGAGATGGTTGTCCTTCTGAAAGTTTCTCCCATCTCCACAGAGGAACTCTGGAGCTCTGTCAGAGTCACCATTGGGTTCTTGGTCACCCTCCCTGACCAGAGGTCCTTCTCCCCCGATTGCTCAGTTAGGCCAGGCTCTAGGAAGAGTCTTGGTGGTTCCAAACTTCTTCCATTTAAGAATGATGGAGGCCACTGTGTTCTTGGAGACCTTCAATGCTGCAGACATTTTTTGGTACCCTTCCCCAGATCTGTGCCTCGACACAATCCTGTCTCGGAGCTCTATGGACAATTCCTTCGACCTCATGGCTTGGTTTTTGCACTGACATGCACTGTCAATCGTGGGACCTTATATAGACAGGTGTGTGCCTTTCCAAATCTTGTCCAATCAATTGAATTTACCACAGGTAAATTTCTACAATCAAGTTGTAGAAACATCAAGGATGATCAATGGAAACAAGATGCACCTGAGCTCAATTTCGAGTCTCATAGCAAAGAGTCTGACTACTTAAATAAGGTATTTCTGTTTTTTATTTTTAATACATTTGCAAACATTTATAAAAACCTGTTTTTGCTTTGTCATTATGGGGTGTTGTGTGTAGATTGATGACAAAAAAATTTTATGTAATTAATTTCAGAATAAGGCTGTAACGTAACAAAATGTGGAAAAAGTCAAGGGGTCTGAGTACTTTCCAAATGCACTGTATAACTACACACAGTAGTACTGTCTATACCCACACATAAACAGGAGGACGTAGTCACACACATGCATGAAGGCTACTTTTAGAAACACACAGGCAAACACACACACACACACACCTATCTACCCTGCCAACACATTTACCAACGACCTAGCTACCTTGCCCCAACAGTCGAGAGAGCAATGTTAATGACTACCATTAAAAATGGGAGATGTTTCCAGCCTTGGTGGGTGGATGAATGATATGGGGCACATGACAATGAGGTTGTGAACTTATGGCACACAAACTAAAAATGGCACACAAACTAAAAATGACACCACTTCCCACAAAGCTTGCATGATATGTGTATAATGTAAACCTCTTCCCTCCCTCCCTCCAAGTCCACACTCATCCTTCCTAACGTTCCCTCTCTCTACCTCTCAGCTCGCACTCCTCCACCTCCTCGGCAGAGCCCGAGTCGGACATGTGAAAGGAATCCTGGGAGCTCCTGCGGGAGCCTCCGCTGTCTGTGGAGTGGAACACTGGAGGAAGGGAGACAGGGTTAAAATCAATACCAGCAAAGCGATGACATGGGGACTAATTTGGGAGTCGTTGTGTGTGTTTGTGTGTGTGTGTGTGCGTGTGCATGCACCCGTGCAAGTGTATGTCCGGCCATGCGTAAGCTCTTACAGTGCTGCGAGAGCGGCAGGCAGCTGCGTCGGATCTGCAGCCTGCGCAGGCGGATCTTCTGTTTTAACTGCTGGATCTCTGAGTCGCTGTCATCGCCATCCTCCTCCTCCTCCCGCCGCCGCCGCAGGTTGCACTTCATCAGCTCGATGGCGGCAATAAGAGACTCAGAGATGCTGAAGTGGGCATTCTCCTGGAATGAGACATGCAGATAAGCGGGGGGAGAGTGAGGCCTTGCTGTAACACTTTCAAAAGGAAGTTATGATTGATTTAACAGAGTAAGGGTCTCTTAAATGATACCAATCCAATCGTATTAGATTATTGATTTCATCAAAGAAACCCATCCTCCTTGCCAACCAGTACATTCTTCGACCATGTTGCTTATTCTGTCCTTAGTGTGCACTCATACACTTCCTTTAAAAGGACTTCGGGAGAATTGGAATGTTTAGACATTAGATTCTAATCACTCAAAGGTCAGGGGTCAGATGATGTGGGATTATGAACCCTCCCCAGGCTCACCTTCTCCAGGTCAGCACAGCTGCCGAAGTCCTGCTCCGACAGGTAGCTGATGAGGCTCTGGCCCTCTGACGGCTTCCGGAACATGCCGTCTGGAATACCGCTGTACTGGGAGCCATCTGCAGAGAGACCACACACACATGCAGAGACACACACACACTTTCAGTAAAGACACAAGCCTCAAACACTGTATGTTGAAGGTATTGGTGTCACAGGAATATATACCTCAGGTAAGGTGATGGATAGTGACAATTCATATTCTTTTGCCAGCTAGGTAGTTATTATGTTTGAACCAGTGTACTCACTTGACTCCAAATAGAGGGAGCTGGGTGTGCTGACATCACTGATGACAGGGCAGAAGGGGCTGTAGGCCTTCACACAGCAGTCCTCTCCAACCAACGATTCTGACAAACAGAACACACAGCAGACGTTAGATTGACCACAAAAATGAAGAAAGATCAGTGTCTTATCATCAAGGGCCAACTAGCCTGGTTACCAGATTTTTTCTGTATTCAACATTTGTGCTAAAGTTGGCTAAAGCAGAAACAGACTTAACTGAACAGTGTCGTAGTAGTCTTGAGATTTCAACTTTAATATCCATGTTGAGATATGCTCAGTCAGACACCCACAAAGGATGTATCGAAAGTAAATGTATCAATGAAAAATCTATCAAATATGAAGTACTATGGTCTCCTCTCCACTGCAAATCCAAGGCGAATATTGTGATGATAAGCTTATGATTGCTGACAGTGTTTCTGACCACATTAGCAACTAATAAATTAAAGTTATACTGACCTTAGAAATCAAAAACAGAGAAATGGAAACATTCGTAAAAATGTATAGTAAAATCATGATGCATTCACTGAATGACCAAAAAAACAACATCAAAACGTCACAATGTAATGAAAGTAGCGTGGATTCAAACCTTAACCAACACAATTAATGAACATGGCAAGCTGTTTTGGCCTAGGGTCTTCATTTTGGTTGGACCTAAAACTAGCCAAACTTTAACCAAAGGCCTAGGGTCTTGAGTGACCTTGGTTTGACCTAAAACCAACCAAACAACAACCAAAACAGCAACCAAGAACAGCACAAATGAGGAACCAAAAGCAAGGCCAGAGATAAGAGAAGGGGAAGTAGGGAATTATCATGCAGGGAAAGGGGGATGAGAGAGGGAGAGATGGAGCACAGAAGAACTGCACTGCCAACCTGCTACAGGGTCCTCTATTATAATGGTGATTTTCCTGTGGCCCCCTCCTTCACGCAGAGAGAGAGAGAGAGAGAGAGAGAGAGAGAGGTTAGCAGTGAGAAAATAGAGGAAAAGGAAAAAGCACTGTGGCAACTGGCAACCGAGCATCAGAGAAAGACAAATGTGCTGGATGTGGTCCATGTCGCATAACACTGCACCTACACCTACACACCCCCACACACACACACACACACACACACACGCGCAAGCTCTCTCTCTCTCTCCCAGGCGCTAACCTGCTGCATACACACACTCTTATACAAACACTAGTCTTGCAGCCATTCACCTGCTGCATGCAAACACATTTGAATGACTTATTTGAAATTAAAACATACACTTATTGGCTTGCACTCATGCTCAGCAAACATACCCTAGCCTCTCACCTGCTGTACAAGCAAACACACATGCTCACCATGTCTATGTTTGTGGTTGATCCCCGTGTCAGACATCGAGCGGATGTGCCCCCTGCTGCCCCCCCGACCCTGCCCCCTCTGTCCCTCCGAGAAGGATGACCTTCGGGGAGCAGAGGGCGGGACCACAGCCAGGGAGCTCCGCCTAGGGGGCTGGACCGGAACCTCGCCACCTAATTCGCCACCGCCGCTAGGCTCGCTGCTGGGCTCGTGGCCGGGGGTGGAGTTCTGGGATTCACGCCGATTGCAGCGTTGCCCCAGGTTACCGATGGCCAGGTACTCTGGGCCGTCGTCGCCCTCGCCGGAGTCTAGGGTGTCGGAGTGGACAGGGCCTGGAGAGGCAGGCTCGGTCAGGGCGATGCGGGGGACAGCTGCCAAGGGGCCGGGAGGAGGAGTCACGCCCCGCTCGCCTTCCCCCCCTGACCCTGACACGCACCCCCAGGGGGCTCCCGGGGCGCTGGCTGATGGAATAGTGTCTGTAGAGGGGGAACAAGAAGAGAGTTTCAGTTAGACTGATTGTTCGAAGAAACTTCTTCAATGCTTTATTCAAATCGCATTTCCTTACACAATCATGTCGGTGTAGACTCGGTGAACTCAAAAGCAGATACTAGGGAATTTAGGCATCAGGGGAAGCCGCTTATATAAGGTGGTTGACATTTTCTGAGACTTTCAACTAAAACTGTAACATAACAGAGCAGACATAATTCTCAGTGTCACTTCTATACTTCCCAATTCTATCTTCAACCTTCTGAATGTTTCAGCTATTGTGACTTATTGTGGACATTGACCTTTTGAAATGATAATGCGATAACACGAGGCACGTCCTGCCTAACCTCCATTCACAATGCTGCTCCTCTCCTTCTCAGAATCTACCGCTCCCTCCCTCCGTCTCCCAATCTTCCCACTCCTCCTTCTGAAACTATAACCTACTGTACGGTTCATCCACCTCTACTTAATTCCCTGCTTTAATCTGTTTCATTTATTACTCCTCCCCTTTCTTTCTGGTCTGCCTTCCTTACACTCAATCCCTTTGCTTTCCTCCAACACCCAATATCTCCTGATCTGTGTTGGTGTTGCTCTTTGTCCCATGTTCTCACTCCCTACCCTAATCCCTCCATCTCTCCTTCCTACCCCTCTCTCCTGACCTGTGTTGCTCTCTAATGTGGCCGACCGTAGTGGTGTCAGTGTTGGGTACCACTTTCTCTTTCCCACTCTCACACCCTCATTCCCATCCCTCACCTTACATTCTTCCTTTTCTCCCATCGCTAACCTCCCTCAGCTCCCTATTTCCTCACCTGACACGAGTTACCCTCTGAGATGACCCCTGTGTTATTGCTGGGTGTGTGTCCTTCGTCTCGGTGGGAGCACTGGGGGCGGTGAGCCTGTCTCTCTCGCTCTCCTATCCTCCCTCCACCCCTCCCATCACTCTCTCCTCACCTGAGTTCCTCTCTGAGATGACCCCTGTGTTTATGCTGTTCAGTGTATGTCCTCTGTCTTGGTGGGGGAGGGAACACTGGGAGGTGGTGAGCCTGCGGTTGAGCTCTTCCCTAGGGGGCCCCTGGCCCTTGCCCAGCCCGGCCCTCCAGCCTCCTCCGGCCCCAGGCAGCACACACAGACTCTGGCTCTTCAACAGGCCCCCCACGCACTGAGGGCCCTTCAGAGTGGACAGCTGAGAAAGAAAGAGAAAAACAGAGGGGGAGGATTAGAGACAAATTAGAGAGTGAAAGAGCGGTACAGTAAGATAGATGGTAAGAGATCAACACAGGCACAGAACCTTAGGTATAGGAAAAAGTTATAGTAAAAACATGGGGAAAGAAAAAACCCAAAACAACATGGCAAGAGACACAATTTATGTGTCAGGCATGGTTGAGAGGTATCGGAAAAGAGAAGACAAATAGAGAGATGGAGGGAGCGAGATCAGCCACTAATGCTGAAGTGGATATCAGGGACAGGAACTTCAGACATTAACATGTACAGACAGAGAGAGAGTATGATTGGTGTGTGGTGCTCAACTGTGTGTGTGTGTGTGTGTGTGTGTGTGTGTGTGTGTGTGTGTGTGTGTGTGCGTGAGAGGTGCCCACCCTGACTGTGTCGACGAGTGCCAGCAAACGGGGGTTGTTCTGCTCCACGGCCTCCAGATACTGAAACATGGCCGTCACATGGGGCTCTTTCAGGAGAAAGGCCTCCTCTGAGACAGAAAAAGAGAGAGACAGAGAGAGAGGGAGAGCGAGCGAGAAGGGAAGGTCAATAGGACAAGGAAATACCACAGATATAGTCCAATCGATATCACAGGCCCAAAACATTGATTACGTCTAGGGCTGTGATGGTCATGGACTTTTGGATGACTTTTTTTTTTCTCAGTAAAATGACCACAGTCACCGTTATAATCGTTTGTATAGCAAAAAACAACAAGTGTTACAAAGGTTATTTTATTTTCATCCAGAATCGACGGTTACACGATCATACAATTACTGTGCCAGCCCTAATTACATAATTCCTTCATCAAATCTACAAACTTAACTACAGTGGTCTTGGTTTGGCCGGGGCACACACACTCACACGCAGCCTTACCGTTGTAGTACTTGCGCGTGTGTCCCTGGTGTTTGAGCAGGGGTCTGAGCTGGGCGGAGAGCAGGTGGACCTGAAGGCTGTGCAATAGCCAGCGCTCTGCCTTGTAGCCTTCCCCAACACTCTGCATACCACTGCTCAGCACGGGCTCCAGCTTACTGAACTACAGGGTCCAGAAAGGGGAGGGAGAGAGAGGGAGAGAGGTGAGGGTAGAGTGAGAGAAAGAGAGCGGAGGGGGGAGGGATAGGGGAAATAGAAGGAGGAGTGTATGGGAGAGAGAGTGAGGGGGAGAGGGCGAAGGGGAGAGGGCGAGGGGGAGTGATGGGAGGGGAAGGGTGAGGAAAAATACAGAAAGAGATAGGGAGAAGAGATGGTGAGAGATTACCATTAAATATAACAGGTGAACATGTGGCTGGCTGGCTGGCTGGCTGGCTGGCTGGCTGCCCCCCCCCCAGATCTGTTTGTGCCGTCTATGTTAATGTAACAGGGGGTAGCTGAGATCATCAAGAGTGTTTTGTGAAGATACAGCAGATTTCCACAAAAAAACATTAGCTCATCAACAAAGAGGGGAAAGAGGTCAGGGGCTAAAAGGTTAAAGGGCATTGGGCTTTCACAACAGTAGCATGTGAGAAGGGTGTTGATGAAGCATTACCCTGGTAAGAGTGCAAAGGTTACTGAGTGAAAGTTATATGTTTATTCATTCACTAAAGCTTATCCTTGCCTCTTTTTAACTCATTGTCAACTGTGAGCCAGCCTACCATTAAGCTCAGGTTTAGCATCAACTTAGAACCACTACTTATCATTAGGCTACACAATGGCTAATCACTGTATTGTTGTCACAACCATATAGATAAAACAATTTTTGCCTCCCAAATGGCACCCTATTCCCTATATAGTAAGGGTCGCGTTAGAGTTCAGAAATCTGCATTTTCAAAACGCAGACCTTGCAAAAATCTACGTTTTAAACCATTTCACCTGGATTTTATATTGAATGTTAATAGTTTTACAAAATGTATAGAGTGAGCAGGGGAGTGCAACTACAGTTTTCTTTCAAAGAAAATACATTAGTGCAACACATTTGGCAGAAAATAGCTTTATTTTCAACTGATGACAACAGAAGTGCAACGCTATTTGGCTGGCAACCACACAAGTAAATGAGCTTACAATGAAAAGGCAAGGTATTTTTTGCTAAATGATGCATGGCCATCATATTTCTAATGTTATCATAGAAAGAATGTAGTCAGCTACATTTCCTAAAGTTTTGCTTCAAGTTAATCTTTCATTTTACCAGAGAAAAGTAGGCAGGCTACACTGAGAAAAGTACCGAAGGAAAAGTAGCTACACATCAGTCAGAGTGCTGTCTACTGATAGAATGCTGGTTCTCTCATCTGAGTGGAGAAGTGCAACTGAAGCACAAAATGTGTCTGATGCCAATCAGAAATTCCAATAAGAATCACTTTAGATCTGCATTTACAGAACGCAGGAAGATATTTCTTATGCATTATATATATATTTTAATTGTGTGAAATACACATAATTCTGCGTTAACGCGACCCCTCTTAGTACCCTACTTTTGACCAGGGCTCAGAGGGCAATAGTCTATGTGCCGGGGGGCTAGGTCTGTTATATCTAGTGTAATTCTCCTGTCTTATCTGGTGTCCTGTGTGAATTTAAGTATGCTCCCTCTAATTCTCTCTCTCTCTCCCTCCCTCCCTCCCCTCCCGGAGGACCAGAGCCCTAGGACCATGCCTCAGGACTACCTGGCCTGATGACTCCTGGCTGTCCCCAGTCCACCTGGTCGTGCTGCTGCTCCAGTTACAACTGTTCTGCCTGTGGCTATGGAACCCTGACCTGTTCACCGGACGTGCTACCTTGTCCCGGACCTGCTGTTTTCGACTCTCCCTCTCTACAGCACCAGCTGTCTTGACCTCTGAATGCTCGGCTATGAAAAGCCAACTGACATTTACTCCCGAGGTGCTGACCTGTTGCACCCTCTACAACCACTGTGATTATTAATTTGACCCTGCTGGTCAATTTGCCCCTGCTGGTCAATTTTTGAACATCTTGAAGAACAATCAGAACAGAGAGAGAGAATTAGAGGGAGCATACTTAAATTCACACATGTACTGTTATAATCTCCACCCGACACAGCCAGAAGAGGACTGGCCACCCCTCAGTGCCTGGTTCCTCTCTAGGTTTCTTCCTAGGTTCCTGCCTTCTAGGGAGTTTTTCCTAGCCACCGTGCTTCTACATCTGCATTGCTTGCTGTTTGGGGTTTTAGGCTGGGTTTCTGTATAAGCACTTTGTGACATCTGCTGATGTAAAAAGGTCTTTATAAAAAATTAAAAACATCAGTTCAATTGCTTAAATTCCATTTAGTTAATTTTTTTGTGAGCTCAATGCGCTGTTTCTCTAGAAAGAAATCAAATAATTCACAAGATAAATTAAGTCAAGAACTTTCTTTCTGGGATGCAGGGCTGAAGGGAGCTGAAGGGAGTAGTTTTCATTAGGCAAACATTCAACCTAGTTCAGCAAAGAAACGTGGTAATTAACTACAATGACCATAATCCATTGTGCATGTTCTTCCCGGCTCGATGGAGACTGATAGCCTACACACAGACCACATGAGAGAGGAATGTAAACAACACAAAGAGGAATGTAAACAACACAAAGATGAGAGGGATAGAGACAGTTCGTGAGGTAGCTCAACACGATTGATAGTTGTAGTTGGTAATAAGCAGTCTTGAACGTATGCCTTACGTACTTTGAAGAACTAGTCAAATGATTTTGTCAGACAGCTCTGCAGAATAATTAGGCAGCTACTATGGGGAGCACAGAGATAATGTTAGATGGCAGTAGGGCCCCGTGTAGCTCAGTTGGTAGAGCATGGCGCTTGCAACGCCAGGGTTGTGGGTTCGTTTCCCACGGGGGGCCAGTATGAAAATGTATGCACTCACTAACTGTAAGTCGCTCTGGATAAGAGCGTCTGCTAAATGCCTAAAATGTAAATGTAGAAATGTTGTCTGGCTGCTACTGCTTGAGCAGAGATGAGATTACTTTAAAGCAGCAAGAAGCGGGAAATTTGTTCTATGTGCGCTACTTCTATGCTTCCCAATCTTAAGTTTTGTTTTTGCGTCTTTTACTTTCGGTTTTGTACACCAGCTTCAAACAGCTGAAAATACAATATTTTTGGTTATGGAAAAGATATTTGAAAGCGGTTTAGATGGTACAATGATTCTCTATACTTGTTTTGTCACAAACTAAAATTAGGTGAACTATTAGAATTTTAGCAACCGGGAAATGGCAGAGCGATTTCTGCATAGTGCACCTTTAAAGAATGAAAAATTATTAAATAAAAGCTAAGTAATATACACAACCAAAATATTTTATTTCATAGTCATATCCTATTTTTATATTGATGTCTAGCCAATGTGGACCTGACAAAGACAATGGGATGTTTTCAATGTTTTAGCAATTGAATGTTCACTATTTTTGGCTTTGGGATTTCCATTAAAAAAGCTCCAAGATAATTTGTCATTATTCTATAATGCATTTGATGTTTAAAAAAAAATATTGAACACGAAATCGAAAACCGTGATTCTTTTTTTATAACCGAGACTGAACCGAACCGACCTCAAAAAGCACTAATTGCTCAGCACTAGGCTCTGGTCAAAAGTAGTCCACTATGTAGGGAATAGGGTGCCATTTGGGACGCAGCCAATCTCTGTGGTCACAACAAACTGTACTGGCTCCCCCATCATATACACGGGATGAATAATCATTGTAAAGAGATAGGCATGAATAACATCAGGGTAGATTGCTAGAGTACAATACCTGTTCTACATGTGAGGCCAGGTGAGGGCTGATGTAGCGGACACACCACACAAAGGGCCAGTAGTCTTTCTGCTTGTAGTACACCTGCAACACAAAACCGGCGTTTACTACAGTACAATGGTATTGTCCTACTTATGGCCGATTAAAGGCCACAATGTGCTGTTATTACCATATTTGTACCAGTTTTTCCCTATTCATCATACATTTGGGTTACCAGGACAGGATAAAAACAGAATGTCATAAAACAGATTCAGAGAAGAAGCAGTAGAATAATGAAATGTTCATTCTCAGCAGCCTCAAAGAAAGTGCAGGGAACAAACGCTGAACTCCCATTTAGCAGATGCTCTTATCCAGAGCAACAATATAAGTGCATTTAAATAAAGAGGCTGAAAAACAGCCAAATAATAAGGCCTTATTATTACCTTTTTCAAAAGTACAAATGATAGTGTAAAAGAGTTAAGAGTAAGTAAAAGAGTAGTTGTTCCTGAGGACTGACCTGCTCGTGCTTGAGGCCGTGGCTGAGGATATGGTTCATGTCCTTGTGCAGCCGCTGCAGACCACCGTAGCGAGACCATACGTTAGGGTTGTTGGTGGACACCAGGCCCTCCACCGTGGTCTTCAGACTGGAGAGCAGCTTCCAGTGTTCCCGCCTGGAAAGAGGGAGGAGAGAGGGAGGAGGGAGAGAGAGAATGGAGGGAAGGGAGGAAAAGAGTGAAGAGGTAGGTATAGGCTTGACTGAACTTGCGCCTCACCCAAACATTCAAGAGTAGACAGTTGAGCAGAAAAATGAAAACCAGCATTGACTGACTGACTGACAAGACATCACACAGTAAGATTCTGCCATAACAAACAAACTACAGTGCAATGACTGCGAATGAACCATGGTGACTACAAACTAATGGCTGTGCACTGCATATACAGCACCCAATGAAATGCATTGTACTAGGCTAAGTAGATAAAGGCTAAGTATTCTAAAGTATACTGAGACCATAGACATATAGTGTCCTAAATGGTGCAACAGAAATGCATCCCGGGGAAGTCTTTAATACTGTTACTGTAGCCTAGTTTTTATTAGCAAAGAAGTGTTTCTTAGTGGTTGAGGAAGTAGTAGTTGAATATCTTCGGTACAACAGTGTGACTGTGCAGAGCATACAGTGCCTTCGGAAAGTATTCAGACCCCTTGACTTTTTCCACATTTTGTTACGTTACAGCCTTATTCTAAAATGGATTAAATATTTATTTTTTTCAGCAATCTACACACAATACCCCATAATGACAAAGGAAAAACAGGTTTTTAGAACTGTTTGCACATTTATTAAAGATAAAAAACGTAAATACCTTATTTACATAAGTATTCAGACCCTTTGCTATGAGACTCGAAATTGAGCTCAGGTGCACCCTGTTTCCATTGATCATCCTTGAGATGTTTCTACAACTTGATTGGAGTCTACCTGTGGTAAATTCAATTGATTGGACATGATTTGGAAAGGCACACACCTGTCTATATAAGGTCCCGCAGTTGACAGTGCATGTCAGAGCAAAAACCATGCCATGAGGTCGAAGGAATTGTCCGTAGCGCTCAGAGACAGGATTGTGTCGAGGCACAGATCTGGGGAAGGGTACCAAAAAATGTCTGCAGCATTGAAGGTCCCCAAGAACACAGTGGTGTCCATCATTCTTAAATGGAAGAAGTTTGGAACCACCAAGACTCTTCCTAGAGCTGGCCGCCCGGCCAAATTGAGCAATCGGGGGAGAAGGGCCTTGGTCAGGGAGGTGACCAAGAACCCGATGGTCACTCTGACAGAGCTCTAGAGTTCCTCTGTGGAGATGGGAGAAACTTCCAGAAGGACAACCATCTCTGCAGAACTCCACCAATCAGGCCTTTATGGTAGAGTGGCCAGACGGAAGCCACTCCTCAGTAAACGGCACATGACAGCCCGTTTGGAGTTTGCCAAAAGGTACCTAAAGAGTCTCAGACCATGAGAAACAAGATTCTCTGGTCTGATGAAACCAAGATTGATCTCTTTGGCCTGAATGCCAAGCGTCACGTCTGGAGGAAACCTGGCACCATCCCTACAGTGAAGCATGGTGGTGGCAGCATTATACTGTGGGGATGTTTTTCAGCGGCAGGAACTGGGAGACTAGTCAAGATCGAGGCAAAGATGAACGGCGCAAAGTACAGAGAGATCCTTGATGAAAACCTGCTCCAGAGCGCTTAGGACCTCAGACTGAGCACACAGCCAAGCCAACGCAGGTGTGGCTTCGGGAGAAGTCTCTGAATGTCCTTGAGTGGTCCAGCCAGAGCCTGAACTTGAACCTGATCTAACATCTCTGGGGAGACCTGAAAATAGCTGTGCAGTGACACTCCCCATCCAACCTGAAAGAGCTTGAGAGGATCTGCAGAGAAGAATGGGAGAAACTCCCCAAATACAGGTGTGCCAAGCTTGTAGTGTCATACCCAAGAAGACTTGGAGGCTGTAACCGCTGCCAAAGGTGCTTCAACAATGTACTGAGTAAAGGGTCTGAATACTTATGTAAATATCATCTTTCAGGTTTTTATTTTTTATAAATAAGCAAACATTTCTAAAAACCTGCTTTTGCTTTGTCATTATAGGGTAATGTGTGTAGATTGATGAGGAACAAAAACAATTTAATCAATTTTAGAATAAGGCTGTAATGTAACAAAATGTGGAAAAAGTCAAGGGGTCTGAATACTTTCCGAATGCACTGTAGGTAAGACACTAGGCCTAGCCTATATAGCCTAGGTAAAGGTGATGTGGGCTACAACATCCAATGGACATAGGCTAATGGCAAACTCTTTAAAACAACAGTATTGAGTACAAAGAGTTAACAGATCTGGGTGAGTGAATAGAACTGTGTATCACTTTCCACTTGCATTGAAAGAGCAGCAGAATCAAAAGTGAATATATATGCCTTAAAGTAGCCTATTTGATGGTGAGAAAATAAAATCAGGCTGAGCCGAAATCCCTTTGACCAACAGACAAAGTGCAAGCTCATATCCAGGACTTCCTCCTTTTTCCTCAAGTCAGCAGCTAGCTGGAACTCAATGCTGACACACACTCTCCCACACACACTTGGGAGGATAGTCTTGAGTAATGAGGAACAATGAAGAACAATACCAGAAGGAAGATTTTAGGAAGATCTAGTTTCCTTGTAAAAAGTATCCTATGAAAAACTAAACATTACTCAAATCTGCAGCAAAGTATGACAGAAATTAGGCCTAAAAAATCCAGGGCTCAGTCAGGTTACAGGGTTGGAAGAAAGGGGGTTAAGGATGAACCAACTGAAGTGTGTGCCACTGTTTCATGACTACTGAAGGAGTCTGTCAGTGATTATAGAGTGTTATACCAGACAGTGATTTAACCAACGTTTTTTGGTATCCATTAATGAGAGTTACAGGTAAGGTACTGTTTAGTGTAGCACAGATTGAGATCATTTTCTACCAACCTTAACTTGGCGATACTATCTTCGTTCTTGACTCGGCCAAACATGTATCTTCTAAAATGTATGTGTCCAGTTGCAGGTGGTGCGTTTGAATTTAGAAGATGCTCCGTTATTAAAATAAATAAACATTTTGGTCCATGAAGTAATCCAACAATATGTACGTCGCCATTTTATCTATTTGAAATATTCTCTCATTGATTGAAACCGGTGGGTCCACCCCAAAGTGCCCATGTCATGTTGACACTCACCTACAGTACCGTATCTCGATCACTGAGGCGTTAGATTAATCTGGCCCGGCGTACACCGTGATATGGCCAGTCACATCATCAGGCCAAAACAGGAAAGGAGGATCGCCCTTCTTAAATCGAACAGTAATCTGCACCTCTCCGTCATGTTGTCAACAAGACAGCATAGTGAATCATCCAGAAACACACAACTCTTGTTGTATAAAATAAATGTTAGAATTTTCAAACTAGTTTTCATTGGGAAGGAGATAAAGATTTCAAATTTTTAAATCAAAAGCAATCGCTTTTCTATGGGAAAATGCAGAATCCTACTCATTACTATACGTGTTTAAATATCCCACTTTTGTTTTCAGCCGATTTCGCCGCGGGACAGAGCGGGGCACCTGGCTAACGCCCGGTGAACTCTATAAATACCCCTCTTGTACAGCACCTGTCATACAAGGAATTAGCCATACCAAAATTGCACTTCCTTCCAGTTTGCTAGCTAGTTACTTATTAAGCTAACGTCTAGCTAATAATGCTAACTCAAGCTAGCTAGCTAACGATAGCTAATTTAGTCAACAAACTAGTTAACGCTAGTTACTAGTTAGCAAATAAATATTGTCATGGACATTATTGGATATGGCATGAAACTGAGGACAACATTTGAAGTTCATTGGCCAATTCAGACTTGTTTTCAATCGTGAACAACCTTAATGTAGCAAGTTAGTTAACCAACGAGCTAGCCAGCTAAGCTAGCTAGCTAGCAAACATCAACAGCTAGCTTGGTTAGCCGATTCCCCACCCAGTCCCTCACCTGCGTTCCTCGGCTTCAGCCTCCGCCGTAATCTCCATTTCCTCGAAACGGGGGAAACCGAATACGGTATCAGCTTCCCCCCAAATCCACTTCCAGTACACACAAGTCACCACCCGCTTACAGTCAGTGGCTGAACATTATCTCGTCGCATTCACTTTGGCTAGTAGGAGTGGTGACTGTGGTGTGGTCCAATATGAGCGCTGTCAGTGTCAAAAATTGCATGAGTCCAAACAGTATGTAGGAGAGGCCTAAACAGAAACACAAAACCGCATGACTTCGCTATCATCAGTATTGGGCGGGGTTGATGTTTCAAATGCGAACTCCTACTCTTCGACACAGGTTGTTTTTGAAGTGATAGATTGAGATTTATTTTTCTAGGCTATTTATTGCAAAATAGCCTTATGGTGAATTTATAACTGTGAGTTAATCAAATAAACATGCCTGCACATTTGCTAGCTTATTCAATTATCCTCTGTTCTCTTTTGAATCAAGTCAGGGACATTCAATATAAAGTTTCACATTATTATTTGTAACTGGTGGGGAATACATTAATGACTTTTCTAGAAAATTACAGTACATCCTAGAACCCCACTTTTTATCCCAAGCCTGCTTGTCTTTGTGAGTCTTGGTGTGGGTGAACGGAGGATCTCTGCATGTGTAGTTCCCACCATAAAGCATGGAGGAGGAGGTGTTATGGTGTGGGGGTGCTTTGCTGGTGACACTGTCTGTGATTTATTTAGAATTCAAGGCGCACTTAACCAACATGGCTACCACAGCATCATTCTGCAGCGATACGCCATCCCATCTGGTTTGGGCTTAGTGGGACTATCATTTGTTTTTCAACAGGACAATGACCCAACACACCTCCAGGCTGTGTAAGGGCTATTTTACCAAGAAGGAGAGTGATGGAGTGCTGCATCAGATGACCTGGCCGCCACAATCCCCCGACCTCAACCCAATTGAGATGGTTTGGGATGAGTCGGACGGCAGAGTGAAGGAGAAGCAGCCAGCAAGTGCTCAGCATATGTGGGAACTCCTTCAAGACTGTTGGAAAAGCATTCCAGGTGAAGCTGGTTGTGAGAATGCCAAGAGTGTGCAAAGCTGTCACCAAGGCAAAGGGTGACAAAATATATTTTGATTTGTTTAACACTTTTTTGATTACTAAATGATTCCATATGTGTTATTTCATAGTTTTGATGTCTTCACTATTATTCTGTAATGTAGAAAATAGTAAAAATAAAGAAAAACCCTTGAATGAGTAGGTGTCCAAACTTTTGACTGGTACTGTAGATACAGTATGTACAGTTGAAGTTGGAAGTTTACATACACCTTAGCCAAATACATTTAAACTCAGTTTTTCACAATTCCTGACATTTAATCCTAGTAAAGATTCCCTGTCTTAGGTCAGTTAGGATCACCACTTTATTTTAAGAATGTGAAACGTCAGAATAATAGTAGAGAGAATTATTTATTTCAGCTTTTATTTCTTTCATCACATTCCCAGTGGGTCAGAAGTTTACATACACTCAATTAGTACATTTACATTTACATCATTTAGCAGACGCTCTTATCCAGAGCGACATACAAATTGGTGCATTCAACTTATGATAGCAAGTGGGACAACCACTTTTTATTTTATTTTATTTTTATGGGGGGGGGGGGGGGGGGGGTAGAAGGATGACTTTATACTATTCCAGGTATTCTTTAAAGAGGTAGTGTTTCAAGTATCTCCGGAAGGTGGTCAGTGACTCCGCTGTCCTGGCATCGTGGGGGAGCTTGTTCCACCATTGGGGTGCCAGAGCAGAAAATAGCTTTGACTGGGCTGAGCGGGAACTGTGCTTCTGTAGAGGTAGGGGAGCTAGCAGGCCATTTAGCAGACGCTCTTATCCAGACCGACTTACAGTTAGTGAGTGCATGCATTATTATAATAAAATAAATTCATACTGGCCCCCCGTGGGAATCGAACCCACAACCCTGGCATTGCAAACGCTATGCTCTACCAACTGAGCTACATCCCTGCCGGCCATTCCCTCCCCTATCCTGGACGACACTGGGCCAATTGTGCGCCGCCCCATGGGTCTCCCATAACATTTTTGACATGCGTTTTTCTGGATTGTTTTGTTGTTATTCTGTCTCTCACTGTTCAAATAAACCTACCATTAAAATTATAGACTGATCATTTCTTTGTCAGTGGGCAAATGTTCAAAATCAGCAGGGGATCAAATACTTTTTTCCCTCACTGTAGATACTTTTGTACCTGTTTCCTCCAGCATCTTCACAAGGTCCTTTGCTGTTGTTCTGGGATTGATTTGCACTTTCACACCAAAGTACGTTCATCTCTAGGAGACAGAATGCGTCTCTTTCCTGAGCGGTATGACGGCTGCGTGGTCCCATGGTGTTTATACTTGCATACTATTGTTTGTACAGATGAATGTGGTACCTTCAGGCGTTTGGAAATTGCTCCCAAGGATGAACCAGACTTGGCTGATTTCTTTTGATTTTCCAATGATGTCAAGCAAAGAGGCACTGAGTTTGAAGGTAGGCCTTGAAATACATCCACAGGTACACCTCCAATTGACTCAAATGATGTCAATTAGCCTATCAGAAGCTTCTAAAGCCAAGACATCATTTTCTGGAATTTTCCAAGCTGTTTAAAGACACAGTCAACTTAGTGTATGTAAACTTCTGACCCACTGGAATTGTGATATAGTTAATTATAAGTGAAATAATCTGTCTGTAAACAATTGTTGGAAAAATTACTTGTGTCATGCACAAAGTAGATGTCCTAACCGACTTGCCAAAACTATAGTTTGTTAACAAGAAATGTGTGGAGTGGTTGAAAAACGAGTTTTAATGACTCCAACCTAAGTGTATGTAAACTTCCGACTTGACATTTTTTTTTGTGATCCAATTGACATTTTAGTCATTTAGCAGACGCTCTTATCCAGAGCGACTTACAATTAGTGAGTGCATACATTTTTCATGAAGGCAAGGTAAAGTGACTAGGCATCAGGATAGATAATAATAAGAGTAAAATAAAGAACAGAGTAGCAGCAGCGTATGATGAGTGTAAAAGTGTGTTGTCGGTATGTGTGTGTGTGTGTATGTGAATCTGTTTGGGTTTTGTGTGAGTGTCAGTGTAGTGTGTGTGTGATTGTGTATACAGGGCCTTCAGAAAGTATTCACATCCCTTGACTTTTTACACATTTCGTTATGTTACAAAGTGGGATTAAAATTGATTTGTCATTTTTTGCCAACGATCCACACACAATACTCTGTAATGTCAAAGTGGAATAAAAATTATACGATTAAAATGTTTTATGAAAAATAAAACACAAATATATCTTGATTAGATAAGTGTTCAACCCCCTGAGTCAATACATGTTACAATCACCTTTGGCAATGATTACAGCTGTGAGTATTTTTGGGTAAGTCTCTAAGAGCTTTGCATACCTGGATTGTACAATATTTGCCCATTATTCTTTAAAACATTCTCCATGCTCTGTCAAGTTGGTTGTTGATTTTCAAGCCATACACGTGGTTTGTAGTTGTGAGGCCAGTTGGATGTACTGCCAAATTCTCTAAAACGATGTTGGAGGCGGCTTATGGTAGAGAAATGAACATTCAATTCTCTGGCAACAGCTCTGGTGGACATTCTTGCAGTCAGCATGCCAATTGCACACTCCCTCAAAACTTGAGACATATGTAGCATTGTGTTGTGTGACAAAACTGCATATATTAGTGGCCTTTTATTGTCCGCAGCACATGGTGCACAGTGTAATGATCATGCTGTTTAATCAGCTTCTTGATATGCCACACCTGTCAGGTGGATGGATTATCTTGGCAAAGGAGAAATGCTCACTAACAGGGATGTAAACACATTTGTGCACTTCAGAGAAATAAGCTTTTTGTGCGTATGAATAATTTCTGGGATCTTTTATTTCAGCTTATGAAACATGGGACCATCACTTTACTTTATATTTTTGTTCACTGTACATACATGGTTTATAAATGATGCCCCAGGTATTTAAACCTTCTCCCCAGGCTAGTAAAGTGGTGGTAGCTTACTACTACCTGCATTTTGGATTTTTGTGTTTTAGGGATTCATTGAAACAAGCAACATGCTGTACTATTTAGTACCAGAGTAATTTTTTATACTTTTGGTACTCTAAAATGGGGGAACTATGTACAAAAAGTGCTATAATTTCTAAACGGTTCACCCGATATGGATGAAAATACCTTCAAATTAAGGTCCACACCTCATAGTCATTGTATCATTTCAAATCGTAAGTGCTTGAGTACAGAGCCAAAACAACACAAAATGTGTCACTACCCCAATACTTTTGGAGCGCAAAACCGTACCTATGAGTAAATATAATAGCTTAGTGTATGTCAATTCAGTTTTTGTTGATCCTAGAGTGAAGTACAGGAAACAGAGATTGAGGTGAGAGATACATGGTTTTGGCATTTCTATATCCTGGATACAGCATGTTTCGTAATTGTACAACAACTAAGTCAGTCATCAGTAACCAGAAGGTTGATTATTAGCTATTCATTGTAAGATGACACACAAACAAGACAAAAAATGCACTGGGCGACACCTTGACATTCTTAATAAAACAGTAATTAATTTTTTTACTAAAAAAAACAAAGATTGCCACAACAGCACATTACAAGGGCATCGTTAAGATATTTTCTCCAAGGCTCAGTGATCATCACGTTCATACAGTACACCTGGCATGTACACGGTATCTCCTTCAAACAAAAAATAAAAACCCAGCTGCAAAGGTGAAATCTAAGTTCATCCCACTAAAGATGACTGATTGTACAATTATAGACCATTTTGGTTTGGTTCTAAGCCACAAAGTATGGTACAGGAAGCACAAAATACATGTAACGCAGACAGGACATACCATACAATAATTTACCAGATTGAAGCTGGAGTTGTGAAATGTGTACAATAGTTTCCGTTAAGTTTGTAAGTTATTATAGTCTAGCAGTTTTTTTATTGAAGTACATGTTGGTACACTACAATCAGAATCTAAACGTTTGCATTCATTAAAGGTCCAATGCAGCCATTTTTATCTCAAAATCAAATCATTTCTGGGTAACAATTCAGTACCTTACTGTGATTGTTTTAAATTAAAATGGTAAAAAATAAATAAAGAGCTACTTAGCAAAGAGCAATTTCTCAAGCAAGAAATTTGCTAGGACTGTCTGGGAGTGGTTTGAGTGGAAAACTGAAAATTAGCTG